ATGGTGCACATGCACAGCCTCAACCCAAAAATAACAAGACGCTGTGTGAGCGGTTTCTGGTGCACCAAGGAATTCCCGGAACGCTGCTGATAGGAAAACCATCATTTGCTCACTTCATGGAAAAGGGCAGGACTGGTACTAACTCCATCAGGAGTATCCGAGTCACATGACAATCTTCAGTAAAGAAGAGACTGAAACAGTAAGTTTCCACATCGTGCAAACACAAAAAAAGTCTATTGCAAAGAGGAAATTCCCAAAAAATTTTAACCAGTATAAAATAATCAAAGATCAAAAACATTAAGAACAGACACACTGCTTTCTCTGCCCCATGTTCCGTCTTTGCAGACCTGGTTGTATCTTTATCTCCCCGCAGGTATCGTGTTATTCTCTCAATTCCTCCTCTCCCAAGAGGTTTGTTTGTTGACTTATTATGATAGAAACATCTCCCTCAGAAGTACTATTTCCTATTTCTAGGATTCCTTAACCATGTGTCTGCAGGATCAAATATATCTTTAATATTAGTTTTATGACCTTAGATCATCAGACCAACCAAGTCTGATTCATGAAATATCTATTATTTCAGATCAAATAATTTACCAAGGATTTTAGAGTTGGCTTTTTAGAAGGGATGTTTCAGGAAAAAAAAAAAAACACCTCAGCATAACAAAACTACACTCATAGGTTAACTCTTAACTAGTAGTGGTCTCCTTATTTTAATCAATGTAAACCACAGGCAGACCTGTAACTGTTGCTATTGGTTTGAGTGGGATTTGAACCACATAAAGTGGGCAATGGGAACTTAGCAATTACTAACTGTTAAGAAAATGTAAGTAGAGAATGTGTTCTATTCCAGTTGTCCTTGAAGTACCAGCACAACCAAACTTCCAGGCGAAGTCCCTCACACCAGCCGCGGCATGGGCCAGGCCTGCGACCCGCATCACAGTCAAGAACTAGTTCCTGCGCCTCTGCTGTGACTTTCCTGTGCTCTCCGGGCCTCTCCATCGCAGGACCCAAATCGTCTGACTCCGTTTGGGTCCCACGGCATTGAAGTTTGTCCCCACACGAACGTCCCTCGTTCCCCCCATTTGCATATGCCCTCCTGAGTGGAAGAGGAGAGGATCCAGGCGGAGGCAGCCCCCAGGGTCTTGCACAGAACCCTGCCTGGCCCTGGGAGTGAAGTGTGTGTCTCATCCGCGGGAGTGGGGGTGGGGGGAGAAGAAACGCTGAGAGACCGCCGTGGGGGCAGGACCAGGCCTCGGTCCCTGGGGCCGTGGGAGCGCCTGTGGTGTGGGGGGGGCCTGTGTCTGCCTCACTCCCATCCCTGTCCCCTCCCCGCCCCTCCCCCGACCGAGGCCCACCCTATCCCCAGCACAGCTCTGCTGGACCAGGGAGGGTCCCAGAGCCCGGGGCCTGCCTGTCCCAGGCTGTCCCTGTCCCTGTGGGTCCCTGCTGAGGGTTGGAGGGGCGCACAGGGCCGCCCTGGAGAGTCCCTGCGGGAGGTGGATCAGCGCGGGAGGCCCCTCCCCTGTGCAGAGGGGGCGAGGAAGGAAGAAAGCGGGTTTTGAGAATGGCCTGCGCTCAGGGCCTCTGTGCCCTGGGCGCCCTCGGCTCTCAGTGCCAGGCCTACCTAGTCCGGCTTCATCCACCCGCTGCGTCCTGGAAGGGCGGGAGGACGCGAAGGTGCCAAACCACAGGAGCAGAGGCAGGAGCAGAGGGAGGGGCGCAGGAGTCCGGTGTCAGCTCTGGGGCCTGTGGCGTCAGGGAGAAGCACAGTGGGGCCCTTGTACCGTGGGCAGGACTCTTCAGAAGCAAAGTTTGAACGTCCAAAGAATGTGGGAAGCGTTCAGCAAGCCTCCTGTTCAACCAGCAGTTAGGACGCTGTATCCACTCCGCAGAGCTGGTGCGGACTCTCCAGGGACCTGGAGAGGAGAAGGACCTGGGCTCCTCCCTCCACGGGTCTGCGCCTCTCAGAGAGCTGGGAACCCACATCCACAGACACGATGCCAACCGTGACCGGCACGCCACGCCCTGGGCGGGTCACTGGTGAGAAGAGGATTCTGGCCCCGGAGACACTCAAGTTCCATCCAGTCACCGTTTCACAAGCACGTGTTCGATATCCATTTTAGACACCTTAAGTGCAAGACTTATGTGACACATTTAAGTGAAGACATTCAGGCGTGCAGCCCAGAGCCTACAGAAATCTAAGTCTGGGATAAACGCAATGGAGGAGATCACCAAGGAGCAAGTGCAGGGAGGGAAGGGCCCCCAGAAGGGTGTGCGGGTGGGGTGGCTGGTGCAGCAAAGGGGGGGAGGCAGCCAAGGAGATGTTGCCTTGTTCTAACCCTGCTAGCGCGGGTGACGCCGCGTTAACAGAAGTGTACTTCCAGGGACGTGGGACGCAGCGGGCCCTTCTGTGTGACCACGGGATGCGCTTGAAGACCGCGCTGCCAGCTCCTCAGTGAGGAGCGCTTTCTGCAGCGCGAGGCGGGCGTGAGGACCGTGGCCCTCCACCAGCCGCCCCCGAGGTTCGCCGGACACAGCACTGCGCACTGGTTGTTATTGTTACTGCATTCGGTCTGCACCGCACCCTTCCAGGCAGGAATGACCGTGGGGGTGTAGAGAAGTTGGGTCACCTGCCCAGACCCAGTGGCCAGCAGGAGGCCAGGTCGGCTTCCACCCGTCTCTGGCGGCCCAGGCCTGGAAGGAACAGGCACCAGGTTTAGAACCCACCGCCTGCGGTCTGTCTGAATTCGTAGGACAGGGCCTGTCCAGGGCCTGCGAGGAGCTATCCACCTAACAGAAGTTGGACAGAACAAATTAGCTGGACCAGTCAAGCCTGGCCCTGTGTCGATAAGCTTCAGCTGTGTGTTAGGTCATAACGGTCAATTATCAAACCTAGTTCTCCTCTCATTATTTCAATAATACTGTTTTCTTTCTCCCATCTCTTTTTTTCCCCATCATCTTTTAGGTTCTGTTGTACTCAGGTTTCAAGGCTTCTTTCCCCCCCAACTAGAGACACATGCCCCCCGCCCCACTCTCTCATCCTGTCCGCAACACCTGCTTCTCCCCCTGCTCTTTCTCTGACTTGTGTTTTCTAAATCCATCAAGCAAATTGTAGTTTCTCTCATTTTTAAGTTTACCATCTGATGTCCACAGTTTTCTAGTACTTTCTATAGTTCTCTAGTGCTCTGTGAAGCCAAATCCTGATGGTGAGATTGAAAGTCATTTATAAACGTAATCAGAGTGGGTGTTGTTCACTAGCAGCTACTGCGGACAAAGAGGGCACGGCGGCACTGTCTTCCTTCTTTCGGATGGCCAAATCGGCATCGCCGCCACCATCCAATCCTATTTCCAGGTAATGCCACACTTTTCACACACTTCCTGCCAGTAAAAGAAACAGTGCTGGGACTGCTCCCAGGTGAGCACAGGAGGCCGAGCCCTGCTGCTCCCTCCGTGTGGTGTGCGTGGGGGCGCCCCCGGGGCCGGCGTCTGGGGCTGCTCTGTTCCTCCTCCCAACAAAAGCCGCTCATCCTGTCACCAACCTCCTAACTTACGTTTGAGATCATCTAGATCTGTCTGGAGTGTATTTCCAGGTAGGGTGGTGTGGATATGTGATTTTCATGTGTATGTCAATGTTCTGTTCACTCTGTATGTCTTGTGGGTACAATCCTATATGTTTGTGCATGTGGAATACTCTTATACTGACACATGACCTATGGGGGCATAGCTCCAAATGCCCTGAAAGGAATATCATGGTAATGAAATTTTCCCACGTAAATGCAACATGCAGATATGATAGCTGCAGGGAATGCACATGTGATGACTGCCAGGATTTTATTTTGCATAGGGAGAAGGCAGGTGATTTGCGCTGCACTAACAGTGAATTGGCTTACTCACGGGTCACCGTCAGGGACACCCTTAAAAGTCCCACATACAAGTATTTCTGTCTGTGGTCTGACATGCACATGACAGTACAGTGTCTGAGTGAATAATAGCCTCGCTGAGTCATCCTTTCTACAGGTAATGTCTGAAAAGAATGGTATGGTTCAGCCCTGGCCGGTACTCATGGGTTAGAATGTCATCCCCATTCGCCAAGGGTGTGGTTCCATTCCCGTGGGGTCAGGGCAGTTAAAGAAAGCAGTTACAAACATCCTGAAAATCTAGTTTGAAATAACAAGTACAATATTGTAATCATAATTTCAAACTCTGATTCAGTAACCTAGTTTTAACATATTACCTGTCTTATTCCTTTTACAGTAAGACACACAAAACCTTTGTTTTCTGTTATGTCCTGAAATATGTACAATGACAAAATCATTCAAAATATTGCCCGTATTAAATGATAATGTTTGTTCTATAAGAAAGGCCAGAACAACATTTGGGGAATAGGAAATCAAACCCATAAAGGATTTAGTTACCCTTCCCTTCAGAAGAAATTTACATTCTCTTGATTTTGTCTAGTGATGTGCATTATAAGTACATTGGGCAGGGAAAATAGCTCAAAGAGGACATTCCTGTGGATTCCGGCTCACGTTGATCATCTGCGTATACGATCTCAATTAACTAAAGAGGAGTGTGGGAGCACTTCCTGGAGTTACCATGCACCCATGAGAACTGCATCGGGTAGGACCCATCCTCACCAACATGCCAGGTTGGTGGCGAAGGGGCCGGCCAGGCTGGGCTTTGGCGAGGACGCCAAGAGGTGCAGGAAACTCGCGCTGGCAGCGCCCTGGGGAGGCTCCCGGCCGCGCCCCCACCCTCGCCCAAGCCCCTGATTGGGCCCGCCCTTATCTGCCCACTCCAGCCCGCTCCCGCGGGGAGAGCGAGCCACATCCAGCGCTGACTGCCCGGTCCTCGCCCAAGACCAAGATGAAGTGGGCACGTTTTGTTCTTGAGACCTCCGATTTGGGAGTTTAAGGAGCTGTGCTTGGACTGGTGAGTTTTGCTGTAAACTGTCTTTGAAATTAAACTGGGCTCGAAGGTATAATCGTTGGGGGGCGGGGTGGTTCGTCTTCCCCGTTGCATTTTAAAACTAACTGCCGCAGTGAAGTTTTGTGTACTGTAAATTAGTTTCCGTCCTTGGTCATTTCTGCCCCCAGAAGCTCACCGATTAAGTGGCGTGACAAGAGCTGTTGGTAATCAAAACTAGCCTGCTCTTAGAACTCTTAACTCTGAAGAGGAAAGTAAAATGATGAGGGAACTGCAACTCGGTCACAACTTACCTCCCTTAGATGAGGAGCTGTCGCTTGTTCTGAACGAGTGGGGTATTCTGTCCCCTAATGAAAAGTGTACCGAGACCAGTTGTTTCTTATGTAATTAGTAAGTGGTCGACAGTACGATTTAAAAGTTCCCCTGCAGCCGACCGCATCCTAAATGGGCCCGGCCCCGGGGTGGCAGTGCAGTCTTCTCTTCCGGATCGCCGCCTGGGGGGCGCTCTAGCGCGCCTCCGCGGTGGAGTCGCAACTTTCCCGATGGGTCGTTCTTTGTGCGGGGACGCGCGGCCCGCGGCCGGTCGGCGCTCAGGTCCCAGGCCGCCCGGCCCCCGCCCCTCCCCTGCCGCCCGGCCTCCCCGCTGGAGCTGCACAGGACTTGGGAAAAGAGACGCAAGTCCTCTGCCCGCGGTGCACCCAGCGTGGTCTCTTAGGGCCGCGAGGGGGAGAGAGTCGCGAGGAGGTGAGGTCACGCTGGTTCGCGAGCGGGGGCTCCGGGACTGCAGGTCTGAACGCGCGCTGGGCAGGCCAGCGCGGTTCCGCTCCGGGAAGGCGGGGCGGCCCGACCCGACGCCGGGCCCCAAGGCGGGCCTCCCGGAGCGCGGCGGGGAGGGAGGCGGGTTTCCTCCCGCAGCGCCTTTGTTAGCGCTGGCTGGGGGGCGGGCGCCGACGGCCGCGACCCCCGGGCCGAGCCGCCCCCCGGGTGCAGCAGGTAGGCTAGGGGGCGGGGGTGGGGTCAGGGCTCCACTGGGGGCCTGGCGGTTTCCCAGGGTCTGGCGGGTTCCCCGCCCAGGGAGCTCCTGCCAGCCGGCTGCTGCACCGCGATGCCGAGACCCGCCCGAGCGCGGGAGACCCGAGGCCTCGGTTTCCGGCCGGGGCGCCCCGCAGCCTCGCTGCCCCAAGGCTGCAGGGATGGATCGGGTAGAAAGCCTGCATTGTGGGGGACATTAGGAACCGCCAGACTGGGAAAGCTGTCGGCGAGTTACTGGGTGCGGAATGGAGACAAGGAAGTGGGCAGGCAGGGGGAATTGGGAAAGGAGACCTCGTCGGAGCGGGAAGTTCTCTGCCATTCTTTTTCTTTCTTGACTCTGCGGAATCTTACTTTGCATCCCAAAGTGACAGTGAGGCACTTACTCAAATACTATATGGTTGAAAGTGGCACCGACTCTGACTACACATCTTACATTTTTTATTTCCCAGGGTTGGTTTTCATGGGTTGTGGGTCATGTTGAAGGGACACCTATGTTGAAACGACAGTGGCGGGTGGTGGCTTATAGCTCCTATTTAGGGTAATTCTCTGATGAAAGTACAGCCACTGGAATTGGATTTGTTCCTCTGTGCCTTTATTTTGGGAAACTTTGCCTGGTCTCCATGGGTGAAGGAGAGGGACGTGAGAAGCTGAAACTGACCCAGAAAAGGACGACTGAAGGTAGTTGTATTAAGTAGTGGCGCTGAAAAGATCCCATCCTGAACTTTCTGGAAGGGGGACTAGTGATTAGCAGCTAAGGGTTTAACTTTCTCAAAAGGAACTTATGGTAGATATTATATCTTGTTACAGGGGAGGTAGTGCTTCTTTTGGGGGGTCAACTCTTTTATTTTAAAGCAAGATCCATTCAATACCTGAAATATTTCCTTTATATACTTAAAATGACCCTCTGCCTCCTCCTTCTCTCTCCCTTCCTGCCCCCTGTCCCAGAGGCACTCTCCATGAGTTTCTATTAAGCACCTTCTGAGGATGAGGCTGACTCAGCCTAACCCACCTGAGTCCTCCAGGGGCTTACCCGGACACCTCACCCCTGTATATGGGGATGAGTGTTATGAGAGGTCAAGTTCAAGCTGAAGCTCAGAGAAAGTGTTCCTGGGGGAATGAGAAGTGAGGGATGATTAGGAAGCAAAAATGATATTGCACATAAGTACTTTGCCCCCCTCCAAGCCCTCAAAAAGTGAAGAGTTTTCAAAATAAAGTTTAGGCTATAGCAAATAAAAATATCACTTTATGTTTCACCACAGTGGAAATCAGATTTCCCTTTGATAAAAGACTGATTCAAATGCTGTGATTGTAGGAAAAGAAAATAACTTTCTAATTCTCAAATATAGAACAGCTTGGATCATAACTCATGGGTTTTTAAATGGGTCATCTTTTAAAATGGGTCACTTTGGCTAGAATCATTGCACTTGGTGACTTTCAAATTTGTAAAAGGAGAGTTCTCTCTGAGGATCAGCTGCACGAGACTGTGCAGACGAACAAAACAGGATGTGGTGGTGGTAGAAAGAAACTGGAAGAAATTCAGAAGGAAATTGTCTCTTCTCAAAGTAACAAAATGTGTCCTACCTTTTTGGGATTTTGTATATGCTCAGTTCAATAGGACCAAGCTTCGTATTTGATGTCATATTATACCTTTTGGGGCGGTAATATTTCTTTTTTTAAAAGACTTTATTTATTTATCTTTAGAGGGGAAGGGGAGGAGAGAGGGAGAGAAACATCAATGTGTTGTTGCCTCTCATGCGTCCCCTGCTGGGAACCGGCCTGCAACCCAGGCATGGGCCCTGACTGGGAATCGAACCTCGATTCTCTGTTTTGCAGGCCCACACTCAATCCACTGAGCTACACCAGCCAGGGCTGGGGCAGTAATATTTCCATAGCCATTATTTTATTCTGTTGTTAGAATGAATACTCTTATGAGGAGATGCATGTCTTGCATCCATGTTCCAGAAATCTAGGCACAGCACATTGTTACAAGAACTCTGCCATTTGACATGGAATGTCTGCTAGCAAAGATGTAGCTAGAACAGTGTCAATCTAGACGATCACGGTATGCATCTATGTAGGAGGTGTAAGAATCTTTATGTTTAAAGACAAGAAAGTTGTTGATCTAGTGAGATGATCACACTTTGAATAAACGTGATTTTTTTTTAACAGTTTAATGCTGAAAATTCAGAGGCTGGCTTTGATCTCTAGTTTTCTATAGAAGGGAATGTTATACCAGGTCTGTAGGTAATCAGCTTCCAAGTTAAAAAACTATTACACAACTTAAGATCCACCTAAGATTTCATAGTCTGTCTTTTATTCCTTTCTTCCAGTTCTTTCTACAACTTTCTGATAATAGTTCTCTAGACAAAATAAGCTAAAAGGTTGACCGAACTCAGGTTTTCTTCATAACTCACAGGATCTTGCAACCTTTGGTCTTGTCATCATTATTGAAAAGTATTTTTAAGTGCTTGTGGGAATGACACTGTTATTCCCCGTCAGGGACAATGGGAGACCATGTTCTGTCACTTAGTAGTAATATGTGTTTGGAAAGTGGGAAGTGGCCCTTAGCAGTCAGATCAGTGTTTAAAAAAACTCGTATCTAATGAATATTTTTTGAGAAGATTATTGAGCGTATAGCTCATCATTTTGAAAGGAAAATAATCCCTGAAGACTATCAGCCATCTGCTGTCTAAACCATCTTGGTAAAGATGCATGAACAATGTCTAGAGAAAGGAATTTAGTGTATACTGAACACCTGATCTGTACCATACTTTGTCAGTAGATTATCTCAAATGATCCTTAGGAAACACTGTGATGTGTGGTTTAGAAACAAGCTCAGGAGAGCAGTAAATGGAAGTACCAGAATATAAATCTACTTTTGTTCATTTTCTAAAACTCTTGGTTGTTGACTCTCTTGCCTGCTTTAGTTCGGTTCTGGGCTGCACTGGTCACTTGCTCTGGTAAAGGATCTGCCCTGGAAACATCGCCGAGGCCTTGCCAGCACCCTTCCTGCGGCCTGTCACACAGTACGTGAGAAAATAATATGTGCTGAACTAACTGAACATATGCATTACTTATTTCCAGGGCTGCCCAGCAGAATGCCTGGAGCAGGGTAGGTGTTTAATAAATGGTAGTTAACTTATTATAATAAACATTGATTTAATGAGACAGAACTATATCATATGTACCTAATGTTTTACACCATTATTTACTGAGTGAACCCTCAATCAAACGTTGTTTCCAAGTATAATGCTCAGAATAGGACATATGAACTGCCGTTGGATGACAGGCTTATGTGTATAGCTTATATAACAGATTTATGCTGGGTTAGACCGTCAACTTATTTCTAAATCACTATTTTTCTTCTCATAATTGGACCTCAGCTCTGTATGACTCTTCTTCCTTCATTTCATCTGTTACTTATTCATCAAATACTTGCTTAAAACATGTCCTCTGAGCCCTGTGCTTTTTCTCTCCTCTCATTCCTTCCTTCTCACCTCTTCGTTTTTAACCCCCTTTGCCACTCTGGCTCTTCTCCCTTAAATCCCCTAATCATCTTTGTGGAGGAAGGACTTTATGCACCCAAAGGACACAGACTCACAAGGCCACTTTGCCCATTGCCTAGTGTTACTGGGATCAAGAAAAGGAACCAGGGAAAATGGAGATGGAGGGTTAGGAAAGGTTATGTTGCAAAGAAAATGAGAGTAAGCTCTGATAATACATGCAGGTAGCAGGTAGCAAAACACAAGTGACTCCAAACTTCAGACAGTGAGGGAATTCTTTGTCTTCCTGGGCCGCTTCCCCTGGCCCTGCCCCACCTGCTCCCTGCCCTCTCACCCTGATGGGAGCTCCAAGGGGGGAGCTGGGCCAGCACAGGGAAGGAGGGGCAGGCGAGGAGCTCCGGACCTGGACCTATGCTGGAGTTTATGGGGCTGCCAGGGTGTCTGAATTTGTGGAGGTTATGTGGTGAACCCCATGCCTCTGTACCTCAGTTTCTTCTGCAAAATGGGGCGACCTCTTCTCCCTCAGAGGTTGCTGTGAGGTGCACAGAGTGGTGACTACACATGTAAAGCCGGTGCTGTGCAGGGAACACGCTGGTGTCAGTGACTTGCTGGAGCAGGTGAAAGAAGTTTGCTTCTTAAGAAGGCAAGAAAAAAACTGCCAAGAATTGTATCTAAAAGGGCAAGCAGCCCTGTCAACCCAAACAACTGTGCTCAAGATTGAATACAGAGGGCCAAGCTTAGAAAAGCAAATGTTTGACCTTTATGGGGCCTGCTTTATAGTACTGCTTTTTCTGTTTGTTTCAGATTCTGTATACTCATTTTTGTTACTGGAGATTTTTAATGACTTTTAATATAGCTCCTGAAATACAATAACACATACTCTATGGTCCTGTGTCACCAGTTTCCTTAGCACCTGTCTTTACTTAGGAGCTGTCTTTGTTTGTTCATTTGGTATTTCCCTGCCTTTATTTTTCCCGTAACCAGCAAACAAAAACTGACACCTTTGTTTAACTTACAAAGAAACATATAACTTAATGTATTCGATATATGGGTGAGGTGCTTGTTACAGGATTTATATCGTTGGCTTTCATAACCCAGCTTTGCTTTCGTCCCCCATCTGTGCTTGCTGTGTTGGAATATAAAGCATTTAGACTAACACTGAATCAAGAACTAACTCTTAAAATGTATTCTTTGTGGAGGGATGACAACCCCGAATGACTTCTAATCTTTGCCCATGGCTTAAGCAAAAATTGCGCAGCTAGTCACAGCCACAGCACACCTAACATTAGCTGTTGAGTAGGATTTTTCCCTCTTTACGTGCCTCATATTGAAAACACTCAATTTGATTAAAGAATAAATTGCCCTGACTGGTATGGCTTAGTTGGTTGGGTGTTGTCCCCCAAAGTGAAAGGTCGCTGGTCTGATTCCTGTTCAGGGCGCATGTTTGGGTTGCAGGTTTGGTTCCCCATTGGGGTGGGTACAAGCGGCAGCTGAAAAAATGTTTTTCTATCACACTGATGTTTCTCTCCCTGTCTGTCTCCCTCCCTTCCCCTCTTTCTAAAAATAAATAAAATGTTTAAAAAAAGAATACAGTAAACTTGAAAGAATTTGTGAGCTGTGAATTCAAATTTCAGGTTGCTTCCTTCCTCCTTGAGCAAGTAAAACAGGCAAATAGTATTAAACAAACGAGTTGTGTTTCTCTGCACCAATTACCACAACTCGTTTACTAAGAAAAATCTATGAAAATCAAATTATAGCCTTTTCAGTAAATTTAGAGCTTTTTATTCCTGATTTATTTTAACACAGCGGTTTGATTCCTGAGGACTGGCCCCAGCTGTCTGTGCTCAACAGGGAGCAGAAGAGCAGACAAGACAGGTAAAAATTCTTGGAATGTACAGCACTATGTAAGATAGAGATGGGACCGAATATGTTATGCCCAGACACGAAACGAAAATTGTGTTCCACTTAGGACTTTGTTGTAACAGACATAGAGTACCGACTCTTTGTTTTTCAGTTGTGACTTAGAGCATCGTTAGTTTATGATCATACTTTTATCACTTTTCAATGCTGTGCCCCGAATGAGCGCCTCACTTGCCTGGCCGCAGTCCCGGCCCTGACCTTCGGTGTGCCTTAGAGAGGGAGTGGACGGGGTCGGCGAGCCTGGGAAGTCCGTGGCACACGTGGGGACGAGAAGCTGACAATGCATGAGGTCTTTCCTTTCTCTATGAGGCAGGAAGTAAACGCATCAGCTAAGAGTGAGGAGGACAGGCCTTGGGGGCAGGGGAAGCCCTAGCATGGCCAGTGAAGAGACTGGGAGAGGAAGAAGGTCCAAGTGAAGGACAGCCACACAGCATGTGCTCTGCCCGCAGCTAGAGATTTCCATGTGCAGTGAGGCTGCCTGCCTGGTGGGTCCCACGCCTCTGCAGCAGCCTGGCAGGTGTGGAAGGAGCAGAGAAGACGGGAGTGATCTGGGTTTGTTGGGTGGAAGGACAGGAACCGAGAGAGCATGGCAAAGGTGCCAGGTGGTCCTCATCTTAGAGAGGGAGGTGGGTAAGAAGAAAGGTCAGGAGTTCGCAGGGTGGGGTGAGGGGGTTACAGGGCAGGCAGGGGTGGGCAGAGTGTTCTAAATGAATATACAGAGGGTGTGGTCGGAGAGTCAGTGTGCTGGAGAGTGAGTGGGCTGGAATTCAGAGGGAATGGAGTTCCAAGTGAAGCCACACAAAGGACTTTCTTGCTGATAAGCTGTCTTGTGTGTAGTGAAGGAAATGTGAGCACAGTGCTACACACATCATGAAATAAGGTTCCTTACCTTCTGAGTGTCTTTATGCTCAGAGTGCCCGTCGCATCTGCAGTCCCATCTGCCTCCATCTCATCACCTGCTGGACGTCCCCACCCAGCACCTCACACTCAACCCAGTCGGAAACCAAACCTGTTCCCCTGACACTTCACCTCAGGAAACCCGTGTTCCCTCCTCTGTCAGCGGTGCTTCAAAGTGGACCCCTCTCCTCCTCCTTAAGCCCCACCCCAGATCGCTCATCACATCCTGCTGGGTTTCTGTTTTTCTTCAGAGAGTCTTCTTCCTTCCTTCCTTCTCTCCCCACCCCCACCTCCCAGACTAGGCCCTCCTCACCTCATCTGCAGCAACAAGAGGCCCTGATAGAAACGGGGTCCTGATCCCCAGCCGTCTGCATCCATCCTGCCTGTGATCCCTTTTGCATAAAGCTTCATTCATAGTGACAAGGAAGTTATCATTAAAAATGAAAACGTGGACTCCTGTGAGTTCCTGCAGCCCCCGGCTGGTGGAGGAACACTCTGGTTCCTCCACCTTATGGTCAAGGTGCCCACGAGCCGCTTCCCTGCTCTCAGACACGTGCCTGGTCCTCAGGTGTCGCCCCCACTGCCACTCTTTCCCTTCTGGCCTCCACCAGACTGCCTCTCTTCCCACAACCACTCGAAGCCCACCCATCCTCAGGCCCTCCTGCTCCAACAGTTTCTGCTGTCTGCTCCCAGGGACACTCTTTCCACGCCTGGAGCTGGTACTGCCCAAATCAGCGCTGATACCATCTGTCCCTGCTGTGTCACCTGTGGGAACAGTGTCTGCTTATGGGCACCAGGAGTCTCATCCCGAACGGGCCATAGATGCCCGCCCACTGGAGACTGTCAGACACCACTTCGCGACTCCCACTATGCCCGGGGCAACCCATTCCATGGCCCATGTCAGACACGTGCAGGAGTTATGGAAACGCTGGGCACTGAAATTGTTTAACTTGAACTTAACACTGCAGACCTCACCATCTTGACTAAAACTTCAACATTTGTAGCATCTTTGCCTGCTATTTTAGGATCACATATGTGGACTCAACAAAGAAATGAGTGGACCACACGTGTGGAGTGCAAAAAGGAAGAGTCAGGGGTCACCTAGGGAAATGTGTGGCCTCTGTGAGCACTAACTCGTTTTTCCAGAAAAGCTGGAAGCGCCCCGGGAAGCGCTTCGGGAAGAAGCAACATTGAGTGACTGAGGGCACTTGGCTCTCATCTTTTCCGACTTTCCTACTTCTGCTCTTTCCTCTTATGAGTTAAGGATATCCGTTCCTTCTCAGTCCCCATGGAGCAAGCCCAAGTCATGTTCCAAATATTTGCATATTTTTCTTTAAGTAGTTCTCTGTCCTGTTCTCTCCCCGTCTTTCCTGTTTTCCCATCTCCAGCAGGCTCTGAGTCATCTGTAATTTCTATGACATTAACAAGACGCTGACATTCACTCCGATCTGTAGATGAAGTCACCAAATCAGAGTGCAGTGAGGGGTGCCTGAGGTCACACAATAAATCCGGCCCCCAGGGGGGTAGCCCTGGAGTGTCCAGCCTGTTGACTGGTCATTGATCAGAGCTGCAGGCTCACAAAGGAAGCTGCACCCACAGCATTCTGCTGTGGACATGCTGAGCTTTGCAAGCATTGTTGGGATGGCTTTGTTTCCTGCGAGGCCCAGCATTTTCTTTCTCCAGGTCGGGCAGGTCTACGGGCTTCTGCCCAGTCCCCTCCCCAACACTTGGAATAGAGAAGCTAGAAGATGTGCTTTTGAGAAGCTGTAAGACTGCGAATCAGAAAGTGGGCATCAGTGGACTGTGTGTGGGCTCCATTAGCAAAGCCAGAGTTGGGGGCAACGTTTAGTTTTAATTAATGAATTTAGATCACAGAGATGCTTTTGGTTTTGGTTGATAAAGGCCACCTAGGACTATGTTCCATTTGGAGGAGTTCAGGTATTCTTTTGTTATAAAGGAGAAGGTGGGTACTATAAAAGAGTGGTTTACCTCCCCCCCCCCCAATCAAATCTTCATTCATCTGGTCAGTCCTACCCCTGGAGTTTAGTTCTGATCAATGTAAATGGTGGGTATACAATTCAAGCTACTGCAGGTGACAAAACCTTGTTTCAGAGCTTTACCTGCTGTAAAGCAAAATAAGTAGCATGTGGGTTGTTGGCTTCTTGTCAGGTTCTTTGTCATTTTTCAGAAGACTGTTCTGACTCTTTGAGGTCGATTGGGAACAGTTGAAGGGAATATAGGAAAGTAATGTAAATATATAGATATGTCATGGGGTGAGATGGGGGCATAAAATAAGTGTTATGGGCTGGCTGCTAGGTTATAGTCATGTTAGTGGCCGCAACACCCCAACCCCATTCATTGGAGAGCTACTGGGGCCTCTGTGAGTTTAGTGTATGTGTGGGGGCCGAGGAGTTAGGCTTGTGGGCTGATTGTCTCACGAGAAGGTCAGTCTTGTAAAGAACTGTGAATGGGTGCCAAGCACAGCTGCTCAAAAATTGGAAGCTATTTTTGCCTGTGGCTCCAAGGGTTACCCTCCCCTTTGTTTCCTTTCCAGGGTCTGTTGGAATAGAAGCTGCAGGTTAGTTTCAACTGAGAATTTTCTCAGAATTCTTAAAGACATGCTGTCTTAAAAATCTGCCATTAAGGATTCTGTTGCTCTGTGTTGTGTCCGGTTCCTCCGATGCGTCCGGTGCAGGAGGCAGAGGGGATTTCTGCCGTCAGAGGTGGGCCCTTACGTAAGTGAGCACTGAGAAGACTGAGAGGAAGTCTTCCCACGCCTCCACCAATGAAAATGATTCTGCGAAGTGTAGGCAGATGCCAGCCCTAGACACTGATGTTTCCCACTATCTTTCTCGTCGTACTAGAGCATTCTGTCTGTCACCCGCCACACCAAGGTGGAAATGACTGGTAACTGATCTATCCCTTATAGTAGTCTTTCTCACCTTTTTGATGGTGAAGCACAATGACAATGCATTTGACATTATAACCCTGAAGGTACTACATTCAGCATGCTCTGCCAGTCTCTCTATTCTCTTCCTCACTTTCCTTTTTTAATTCCAGTTGTGACTTCCTACCTGGAACCAGCCATGTTAAAATCTGTGCCCTAGGGGATAAGATGTCCAGTGCTGATTATCTTTGGAAGAAGTCTCAGTGGGGCTTGGCTCTCAGCCCTGGTTCTCCTTGAACTTCTGTATGCCTGGCCTTTGTAGTAGTCACTCTAACATGTGGTAATCTTGGGGGTGGGAAGTACAGCTGGAGGCAAAAGGCTCGAAGTCTGAAGGAAGCCCCAAGGTTAGGAGGACACTGTAGGGCACTCAGTGAGTGTGTGCATTTGGTTTCCTATTGGATGCAAAGGGTAGGGGACTTGAGGATGAGGTCTTTGGGCACATAAATGGGGCCTCTGCCCTGAGTCTTGGGATGGGGGCTCAGCTACTCAGCCAACATTGATTTTGTGGAGTTTGCATCGTCCTTTCTATGCCAATCTGCTGATAGCCCAGGAGACTGATGTGTCACCCCGGAGGGGAGAGCCTACTTCCTCAGGCTGAAGGATGTGGCTTAGTTGTGGTAAGCGCTGGAAACAGAATCCTTCAGGGAGGCAGGTGCCATCTCCTAGTTACAGAAGGAGAAGGATATGACTGGCTAGGCATCCTAACCCATAGTTCTTCCCAAGTGACTAGCTGTTGATTGAAAGGTGGCTCCACCCCCAAGCATGGTTTTTTGTACCAACGTCCCAAGAGTGCCTACTAGGTGCCTGTACTAACTTGGGTGCTAAGGGTAGGCTCTCTACAACACCATGTCTTGCATCAAGGAGTTTACAGTGTAATTGGGGGCAGCAGCCTCAGTACAGGAAGATAGGTATAAGAAGGTACTGGTAACGCAGATAAGAAACATCTTTGGCAAGGGATGGCCCCAATTCAGACTTCTCAGAGACAGACATAGAACTCATTCAGGATTAGTAGACTTCTTATCGGCAAGGGGAGGAGGCCACAGGACTGCTGGTGGAAAGGCTAGCATGTGTGTGTGAAGTGACAAGTGTTGCTGAGCTTTCCGCCAGTAATTTGGTATTGTTGTGGAGAGCATCTGAAGGGGTGTAAGGAGCTCAGTTCGTCTCATGGCTAGATCTGAGCTTTAGGAAGGCGCTGTGACTGGAGAGTAGAGGAGGGCTTGGCCAGGGGTCCTTAGGTCTACTGCCCAGATCGGGATGAGAAGTGATGCTGGCGTGAGAGGTGAAGAGAGGTTTAGAAAAAGCAATTCACAGGATTAAATAACTGGATATGGAATGGAGGAAAAGGAAGACTTTCAGATTTCTGACAGATACATGAGATATAATGCATATAAATAAGGAGAAAATGGATTTGGTGGGCTTTAGTGGGGAGGACAGTAGAATGGGTTAGAAATGGCAGCGGCGCACCTGTTTGTCAGGTAAATGATCTCTCTGCCTCTCTCCCTTTATCTATGTATAGTCCCATTTAATGTACATAACGACTTTGAGTTCAGCGGTGTTACCCCACTGTTTCAGGCTCTGGGGTTAGATGCACGACGCAGAGCCACAGACAGCAGGTGCCTGAGCGTGCACTGGTGTCCACATCTCCAGACTGCAAGGATGGCAGGTTTTGGCTCTAATTCTACAGCTTCCTAGTTTTGAATATGTTAAATTCAAAGTATCAAATATTGATGTAAAGAAAGAACATGACTATATAGATTTGGAGCTCACACAGTCATTTGGGTTGGAGAGAGTTTGGACTGTGCTTTCGAGAAGCATATCTCCGCTCCTTGATTTTGAACCTGGATTTTAAAATGAAAGCCTTACTCTAATTCCTGCTTTGCCTGGGGCAAGTGTTATTGGATCTTTACTATCATGAACTTTTCATCATTCATCTGTTTGGCCTTGAACTGTATAGCTGTTCTCATCCTGACTGTATTTCAAATCAATATAGTCATGGATAGACCCATCTGAAGGATTTGAACTTTACATGCATAAGATGATAGCCGTTGGAGGGCTTTTTTTTTAAAGATTGAGAAGGGAAAAGATCTCTGTATTCTGCACTTGATCTTAGCCAAAAGGCCGAGAAGCGGTGAGATCTCTGTATTCTGAATAGGAAAACAGTAGAGAGTTCTCCTTTCACTTGTCCTCTGCTCCCCTAAAGTGCAGACAGCTGTGCGCCCCTCTGACTGCTAGCTTCCCCATCTCCTTTTGTCCAGGGCCGTCCGTCACATCTAGTTTATAAGGCGTTAAGAGTAGTTTATTTGTTTTTGGTAACCCATTAATCCATTCACACGTCACCTTTTCTTGTCCTAACTCCAATAGGTCACACTTAACCTTCACAAAAGGAAGTCCACAGAGTGTCTGCACGGAGCCAGCCACCCAGCTCAGTGAAGGATGCCAGGGTGGGGACGTTTGGCTGTGCCCGGGTCCTCGTTCTACAGTGTGTTCGATTCTTGTGCAATCTCAGCAAAAACGGTATCAAAAGAAAATATTTTGTGAAATAAGAAGCTCGTTTGATGTTTTTAATGACCAACCTATCTTAAGATGGACATCTGTTCCATAGAATGTGAAGTTCCATGGTCTCGAAAAAGCAAATGCCTGTTTAACACTGATTCTAAATAAACATGGACATCAGAATGTTTGTTAGTGGCAGAAGAGTGAAAAAATGGCATTTTCTCCAGTTATGTGCCACTTGTTTTATACTGAGCCTCATGGTGTTTTGGGAACCATTTGATAATCACATTGTGAGCCACATGAAATCCTACTCTTACCGATACCTCATAAATAGCTACGACTTTGTGAATGAGAGCCTGTCTCTTAAGCGCAGCGAGGATGGGGCTACTCGCTACCAATACTTGATTAACCATGAGGAGAAGTGTCAAGCACAAGATGTCCTCCTTTTACTGTTTGTGAAGACTGCTCCCGAAAACTACGCCCGACGCTCTGCAATCAGGAAAACGTGGGGCAATGAGAAGTATGTTCAGTCTCAACTTAATGCCAACATCAAAACTCTGTTTGCCTTAGGAGCACCTTCTAATCCACCAACAAGAGAAGAACTGCAAAGGAAACTGTTTCAGGAAGACCAAGTATACAATGATATAATTCAGCAAGACTTTGCTGATTCCTTCTATAATCTTACTCTTAAATTACTTATGCAGTTCAGTTGGGCAAATACCTTTTGTTCCCATGCCAAATTCCTTATGACTGCTGATGATGACATATTTATTCACATGCCAAATCTTATTGAATACCTCCAAAGCTTAGAACAAATTGGCGTTCAAGACTTTTGGATTGGTCGTGTTCATCGTGGTGCGCCTCCCGTTAGAGACAAACACAGCAAATACTATGTCTCCTACGAGATGTATCAGTGGCCAGCTTACCCTGACTATACTGCTGGAGCTGCCTATGTGATCTCGAATGATGTCGCTGCCAAAGTCTATGAGGCCTCGCAGACACTTAACTCGAGTCTTTACATAGATGATGTGTTCATGGGCCTCTGTGCCAATAAAATGGGGATAGTACCACAGTACCATGTGTTTTTCTCTGGGGAAGGTAAGACTCCTTATCACCCCTGCATCTACAATAAAATGATGACATCTCACGGACATGTACAAGATCTTCAGGACCTTTGGGAGGATGCCACAGACCCTAAAGTAAAAGCAATTTCAAAAGGATTTCTTCACCAGATATACTGCAGGATCATTAAAATAGTTTACCTTTGCAGGTTGACCTATGTGGACACATATCCTTGCAGGGCTGCTTTCGTTTAATAGAACTTGAATGTTACACGTTCTCACTGTCACTGAGCCAAACCTGAATGCAGAACCTTTAAATGTTCATCTCTACCCTAAGTGAAGTATGAATAGGAGAAAAAACAAAGAAATATTTTGAAAGCTCAGTCTCTCCCAAGATTTCTTGGATTCTAGGAGCATGTCCCCCACCCCACAAATTGATTTGTAGAGGTGGGGGAGAGAGCAACGTCACTGTGAGGAAACACTCTGACTGGGAATCAAACCCACAGTCTTTGGTACACAGGCTGATGCTCCAACCAACTGAGCCACCCAGCCAGGGAATGGATATTTAGGAAAGGCTTATGAAAACAAAACTAAAAAGAAGTTCAAGTTCCCAATGCCACATGTATATGTGAAGTATAGACAAGTTATTAAGAAATCTTGCTGTTAGAACAACTGCATTTGGAAAATACTAAATGTACAGGATAACATTTCAAAGAAAGGAATATATTGTTAAACTAGGTATAAAAGTCAATTTTTATTGAAGAGCACTTGATGGAAACCGTGGGGGCCGGGGAGGATTGGCAGAGGAGAAAGTACATGAATCTGGTAAAAGAAAGTCTCGTGTTCTTAGAGGAGATTTAGGAAAATGCACAGCAGGCCCTGGAATAGCCTGGTTTTGTTAGGCCTCGTTTTATAATGTTGATAAGATGCTGCTGGAACTTAACTCTTGTTTATATCAGTTAACCTACTGTAAAATTGTTTCATTATATGTTGTTTTGCAGCAGTTCCAACAACTTATTGACAATGTTTAGTGAGAACTTACTGTACATTTTCTTTCTCAACAGCCAAATCACCTATTGTTACATCCCTGAAGCTGTTTTACCTAGATGGTGCTGGAGCCATTTAAAACATATTTATGTCTTTTTTTTTTCCCAAAGTTGAATGTAAAATTAGAGAAGTCATTAGTTCTGCCCTAACTGGTACTTCACACTTTTTTTTAAGTCATTAGAAAATGACACAAAACAGGGGCAACTTGTTACCCATCAGATCTTTCTGTGGGGAGAAATCATTGCTAATTCAAATAAGCTGGTTTTAATTCAATGAATTTTTCAACTGGTTTTTAAATATTCAATATAGGTCTGTTTTTAAGATAGTTATTTGAATGTAGTTTACATAGAGGAATATAAGGCTTCAAAAAGGAAAGAAAACTTTAAAAACCTCTTTCCTCCATAATTTATAAAATAAAATTCTTAGTGTCTAAGTTATTAGAATGATTATTCAAATTAGCCCACCCTTCCCCAACAAGGTCTGTAAACCACAGTGCTTTTTGAGGTTCAGATTTTAAAATTGAGGGTATTAAACATCACATCAAAGCTATGGTATCTTTTTAAAAAGCTATTCTTTTGTTAAAATAACTATCAGGTATTTTCAGCTTTTCAATATTTCAAACTCGAAATTGGAATGAAAGGTGGAAAAGTGGCCAGAATGAGGTTTAAAGCGTTTGTAAAGCTGTGTGCTCCGTATAATCAGAGACGTGGCCGAGATCTGATAGAGTAAGTAAGGGTCGTCTGTTTGACAAGGCAGAGCAGCAATGTGACCTCGATGCCAACGAGCTTCTCTCACTACAGAAGGAACTACGTGATGTGTGCCACTAGGAGGACTGGATGAAGGCCAAAATGACAACTCCAGCGAAAGCTGTTGAACCGATTATAGAGACTTTGTCTGCAGAGGTGTCCGTTAGGGAAAACTAAGGTGTTTCTCTTATTTAATTAGATAATTATTGTTTGAAACATGGAAGATAAAACAGTTAAAAAAATTCTCAGTAAACACAGCTAGATGGTGGCATATATAATTTTTTGCAGGTAGCTCTTTAATGTTTATGGAATCAAATTTTTCTTTCAAAAATCGACGCTCATTTATATTGATTGCTCAGATAATTCAGAATTTTTAACTACTGTCAAAACTATAGTGTCAACCATTCTAGTCTGCAGTTACTTTAGGTTCAGGGTTTTTAGGTCATTACAGTTAAAATTTTCTGATGAACTTCAGAAACTGCAGAGGATAAAAGCACATTTTGACAAAGCAGATTTATAATTAATTTTTATTTGTTGATTCTTTCATAACCATTTGACTTTTGGCCATACACATATGCTGTGTATCTGTACTTGTAACTTTAAATTTCTCCTTGGATGACAACATCAGTATCTCTGGCCATCGAAATGATCTTGTTTACAGCCATACTTTGGTGAAGCAATTATTTATTTATGAGAGAGCTCTCCTCAAATGTGTTCATCTTTTTATTTCTGCTTTTAATTTAAAGGAAATATGAAAGCACTTCCTTTTGTAACAAGAAGGGTATTGCTAGATGCTTCCTTCATCACACTTAAAGTGCTGAGAAAAATATTTGTAAATACAGTAAAAGGCTTCCAACCTTTAAAAAAGGAAGATAAATCTTTGGTGCTCCAATGCAAGGCTGTCTTAAAAACCATAAACAAAGGGAAAATAGACTGTCAGCCTGAATGGTCACTCAAGCAGAAAAGATGGTTGTATGCAGTGTTATTGTTAAAAACATTTTACCTCTTAGTTGGTTTGCATCTTGTTTTTCATATTATTAATTTTATACCAAAATGTTAAATAATTATATTATTTGAATTTTGCTTATATGTTTAATTCGTGTTTTTTTTAAAATAAATCTGTGATTTACAATAACAGCTTGAAAATTGTCAGCAGATGTGTATTTTCCCAAGGGCTTTTAAACTCCTGTGTGAGCAGCATATCTTCATGTATCATAAGCTTGTTCTGTTTAAGGGCAGAGAGGCCTCTAGTACACAGTCTTAATCCTGCTGCGTTCGGACGTGCTGCTGTGCCCTGGGTAGTAGTGTGTCCTCTGCCTCAAGGAGCCACCTAAAATGCCTCTTTTGTTTGTTAAATGACTTATGTTGCAATGCCTAAGTGAGGGAATGCTCCTCGTAGACTATTTAGGAGGAAAGAATGTAACCTGTAGCCATAGTGCCTTAAGACACTATTTGAAAAGGTCATACTTTCCTTTTATTTGATGTCATGAAGTGTCTGGAAATAGATTCAAATTTAGCCCTAGTCTCGAAATGTCAGAAACGTTCTCAGGTCCTCCCACTGGATGGTTGGTGCCTCAGTAAATTTGTACGTGGTGTGTTCTCATCTCCTTCTCACCTGATTCACGCCCATTTCTTGCAATAGTATATGCTGTGATTGAGTCTGTATATATTTTTTTAAGACTTGGAAGCACCTGAATTATTTGGTTATAGTAGAACTTTTTACTTGCAAGGCATGGGTGGGGTGTTCGTAGCTGGAAGTAAATGATGATCACTGGGATAGATTATTAACTTGACTGCTGTGTTGGACTGCAGGTGAACACCATATAGTGTTCAGGTGAACGGCAGCTACAATGAAAATGAGACCAGAGAACTCCCGATATGCAGGGTTAGTCATTCTGCCGTAATAATGAGAGAAATGTTAGGTGTCTTCCTGACTCTTTCCTGCGGTCACTGCATGGTGCAGTGAAACAAGCTTCAGTACAGATTTCTTTAGGATCATCCTTCGCTCCAGAACTCCAAGCTCCTTACTGCCTCCAGCATCAAATCTAAACTCTTCTGCCTCGTTTTCAATGTCTTACATAATCTTCCTTTCCTTCTTCATTTCTTGTAGCTTTATTTTTCCCATTGCCACTATTATCCATTACAAATCTCAGCCATGACCGTACCTGTGAGTTCGTTTCCCTTGCCAGGAACACCATTTCCCCTATATCTGTTGACATGTTGGAAACCAAGTCCACTGTTCTATTAAACATCTGCCCTTTCCACAAAATAGACATTATTATGTACACTTACCACTTATGTTTGTTTGTTACCTGATTGTTTCATGTGTGTTTTCCAACTAAAATCTAGTCCTGAAGGTAAGCACTATGTACAGTGCTACCACACAGCACTTAAAATTTTTTTCATATATAGTAAAGTAACATTATTCTGGCTAGCCCTCCAAATTAGAGATAAATTATTCAGAACCCTAAGAGTATGCAGAAGCTACATTCACAACCTCCAATGACCAAACTGGACTTACAGCTAAATTATAAAACAATCACCCAAAACAACCAACTGCAGATTAGCTGAAGAGAATCCTTATAACCAAGGATTCACACAAGAAGCCACATCAAGATTGGTAGGAAGCGTAGAGACACAAAAAAGTTTGGCCCGCTCCCATGGGTGGCAGCTGAGGTTCCGGAGAGATATCACAGCTCTGGGGGGTTCCCCCTGAGAAGCGTGGAATCTAAACCCAGAGTCGGGCTCCCAGCCCAGAGCACCAGAACTGGGGAAGGTGCCCACATAACATCTGGATGTGAAAAGCAGTGGCGTTTCTGTCTGCCAGGGAGAGAGAAGTCTACTAGAGACACAGGCAACCTCTTAATGGTTCGCAGCCACTCACCCTCAGCTCCACTGGAAGGAGGTCATAGCAAACTAGAATTGTGTGAAGAGTCGGGTTCGCGCTCTGTGGCGAGAGCTGAAGGGTCAGCTGCCAGTATGCCTGTGCTAAATCATTCCTCTGTATCACAGATGCCATCTTTGTTGGGTGGAGCACTCCTCTTTGTGCTGTGTCAGCCTGTGGGAAAGCAATAGCCCACCCTCTGAACTCCCTCTTACCCCATCCTGTGCAGCTTATGTCTGCTGAGGAGTACAGCTTAGGAGCCCTTGCAGCGACTGCGCCTAACAGGCAGCTGGCAGGCAAAGGCAGGTGCAGGTGAATCCCTGGGTGCTTTAGGACATTTTCTGTCCACCCCTTAGACTGGTGCTAATAAAGCTGGCCTTGGTGTACAGCTTGGTCCTTTCTGTGCACATCGAGACCTAGCAGTGGCAGCCTCAAACTGGATTGCTGATAGCTCCAAACAGGTTACCCAGGGCCAGTCACAGGTAGTGTTTGACATTGGTCTCCACCAGAGTCCCTCCAAAAAGGCCCCAGAATAAGCAACCCAGTGGCTAGCTTCAGACAACAGAGCAGGATCCAATAAGCTTCAGAAATGGCACGTCTGAAGAAAGATCTTGGCAGGCACCAAGCCCTGCTGAGGCTAATTCCAATTCATGGGCTCAGCACCTTCACAGCAACTTGCACACTGCAGTCAGGGTTGAGCCTCAAGTAAGCTAGTTTGAGGGTTGATCCCACACACAAATGGGCCAATAACAATCAAGACTCAATTACAACAGGAGGGCTCACATAACACACACAAGGGACATTACCGGAGCACCAGCAGGGATGATGAGGGAGACTGCCCCACTGAACCCCACAGGACACCTACTACATAAGGCCACCCTACCAAGATGGAGAGTCATAGCACATCTACATGTTACATAGCAACAAACACAAAGAGGCGGCCTGAATAGAAAGCAAAGAAAGAGGTACCAAATGAAAAAAAAAAGAGGAAAATACATCATAAAAGAGCTAAATGATGTAGAGGAAGGCTATTTATCAGATATAGAGTTCAAAGTAATGATTATAAGGATGCTCAGCAACATGAAAAGGGACATAGAAGCTATAAAAAAGGAGTAGTTACTAATGAAAAATATATTATCTGAAAAGAATACATGAAGGAATAAACAGTAGCTTGGATTAAGCAGAGGATCAAATCAGTGATTTGGGAGACAAGGTAGAAAAAAAACACCCAATCAAAGCAGCAAAAAAGAAAAATGGATTAAAAAAAGCAAGAATAGTTTAAGGGAACTTTGGGACAACATGAAGCATAATAATATCAGCATCATAGGAGTACCAGAAGAGGAGAGGAGAGAGGAGAGGAGAGAGAACCAAGGATCAAGGACCAATTTGAAGAAATAATGACTGAAACTTCCCTATACTGGTAAAGGAAAAAGACACACAAGTCCAGGATGTGCAGAAAATCCTAAACAAGATGAAGCCAAAGAGACCCCATACCTAGATACATTATAATTAAAATGGCAAAGATTAAAAACAAAGAGAGAATCTTAAAAACCATAAGAGAAAGACACTGTTCTACATGGGAGGTCTCATAAGACTTTAAGCTGATTTCTCAACAAAAACAGTTTGGGCCAGAGGGACTAGCATGAAGTATTCGAAGTGATGAAAAGAAAGGACCTACAACCAATACTCCTTTACCCAGCAGGGCTATCATTTAAAATTGAAGGAGAACTAAAAGCTTCCTAGATAAGAAAAAGGTAGTTCCTTACCAACAAACAAGTATTATAAGAAATGTTAAAGGATCAAGAAGAAGGAGAAGAAAAAAAAAAAAACAGAGGGGCATAGTTAGACAAATAAAATGGCATTAAATACATACCTAACAGTGCTTGCTTTGGCAGCACATATACTAACATTGGAATGATACAGAGAAGATTAGCATGGCTCCTGCACAAGGATGACATGCAAATTCGTGAAGTGTTCCATATTTTTGAAGGTCACTTCATAATACTCAAAGGAAGAATCCACCAAGAAGACATAAACATTGTAAATATATATGCACCCAACATAGAAGCACCCAAATATATAAAGAAAATCATAGAGGACTTCAAGAAAGACATTGACAGCAACACAATTATACTGGGGGATTTTAACACCCCACTGTCAAAAATAGATCTTCCAAACAAAATATCAACAAAGATAATGTGGCATTGAACAATGCCCTAGACTAAATGGACTTCACTGATAGATATAGAGCCTGTCACCCCAAAGAAACTAAATACACATTCCTCTCAAATGCACATGGAACATTTTCAAAGATGGACCACATGATAGGACACAAAACGAGCCTCAACAAATTGAAGAAAATTAAAATCATCCCAAGCATTTTCTCCAACCACAAGGGACTGAAACTAGAAACCAACCCCAAGGGGAAAAAACCAAAATGCTCAAAATCATGGAGATTGAATAGCATGCTTTTAAACAATGAATGGATCAAGAATTAAATTAGGGAAGAAATCAAAAAGTTTCTGGAGACAAATGAAAATGAACTCACAACAACTCAAAACTTATGGGGCACAGCGAAGGCAATCCTGAGAGGGAAGTTCACAGAAGTACAGGCCTACCTGAAAAAAGATAGAAACATTTCAAACAAACAACCTAACCCTATGCCTTCAAGAACTCGAGGAAAAACAAACAAAAAAAAAAACAGCCCAGAGCAAGTAGAAGGAAGGAAATAACCAAGATCAGAGCAGAATTAAATGCCATACAGATGAAAAGCACAATTCTAAAGATAAATGAATCCAGGAGCTGGTTCTTTGAAAAGATAAACAAAATAGACAAGCCTTTAAGCAGGCTCATCATGGGAAAATACAGAGAGGACCCAAATAAACACAATCAGAAATGAAAGAGGAGAGATTACAACTGACACCACAGAAATACAAAGGATTGTAAGAAATTACTATGAAGAACTGTATGCCAAGAAATTTGAAAACCTAGGTGAAATGGATGAATTTCTAGAAAAATATAATCTTCCAAAATTGAATGAAGAAAAAGCAGAAAGCCTGAACAGACCAATAACAGCAGAAGAAATCGAAGCAGTAATAAAAAAACTCCTGACACACAAAAGCCCTGGTCTAGATGGTTTCACAGGAGAATTCTACAAAGCATTTAAGGAAGAGCTAACCCCTATCCTTTACAGACTACTCCAAAAAGTCCAAAATGATGGAAGACTCCCAAACTCTTTTTA